ATTTGAAGAGAAATATATACAGAGTTGATACATTTCAAAGACTCTCAGAACTGTATTCATTAGATGTGAGGAGTTTAGGAACAGGAGGCTTCAAGGAGAGGACTGGTTTCTGAATTGGGTTCCCTAGTCCACCAGCACAGACCCTGGGAGTATGTTCCATAACTCTCTGCAGTGAAAGCCTTAAAAGATACTACAGTACTGTTGAGACAATTAGATGGCTGGTTGTCAAGGCCATCATGGATGGCTCTCTAGTCCTGCAAGCCAGAAAGTATGTTCATAGGCTGATGACAACTTTCTTTTATAAGAATAGCATCTTCTGGAGCACCTGGGTGGCTCAGTCACTTAAACATCTGCTTTTGGCTTAGGTCATGATCACAGGGTCCTGGGATTGAGCCCCACACTGGATTCCCTGCTCAGCAGAGAATCTGCTTCTCCCTCTCCTTCTTCCTCTGTGCACATACATGCTGTATCTCAAATAAATAAAATCTTTTTTTAAAAAAAGGAAGAGCATCTTCTGACCACAGATTTCAGTTACCTTTCCCATCCAATTTATTATTTTCATAGCTAAATTGCAGAAATGAGAACAAGCATAGGATAGATCTGACTATGAAAGTTACCAGTCTTGGGAGAAAGAAGTGATACGACAAATCATTTCTTGCCTCTTAAGAATGTGAAAAATGCTCAAATGAAGTGATTTGGGTACCAGCCCCAACAATGCATTCCACAGCACACTACCAACTGTGGGGAATAAATTTTTCAAGGGCAGTACCACAATTTGTGTACTCTGCTAATTCTTTCTCTAAACCATGTTATTGTGATCTGCCTAATAAATTAGTTTGGATAGTAACACCATAAACCTCAAAATAGAAACTATTTTATCAAAAGCAAGATATATGGAGAAGGAAACATATTACTATATAAAATATTAATAGAGCTGGAACTACCAGAGAAAAAAGATTAAGTCTTAGTGAGGTTAAATTTCTCACGATCTGAGCATAAATGTTCCCAAGTGTGGATTCAGCATACAATCTTTTCCAAAAGTCTTAAAAGATTGAACAGATGCTCCTAATTTGGCACTTATTTTTTTCTTCCCTGTTTATGGGTGAGAGGTGAGAGGTGGTGGAAAGCAGGTAGTTCTATCATCATCAATAGACACATAGGGACAAAAACTCAAGCTGGACTCCAGAGGAATCAATCTGGCCATCCTGCAGAAAATGACCTGGACTGGCTGGGAAACAGAAATAATAACTTGGCAAATGGTTTTGCAGAAGGTTTTCCTTTATCAAGGAAAATGTTTAATCACAGCTGAGGTTGAAATACTCATAAATAAACAAAGTTTACTAAAAAGAAGTGGTTATTTTTACAAGATAAATAAGAAACAGTCATTTCCAATTAGCTTTATAAGAGAATGCCAAATAGAACATCGATGGGATTTGATCATCTCACATTTTGGCAGGCAGAAACACAAGCATATAAAGAACCAAAATGTCACGGTTTTAGCTCCTACACATTTTGCCTAAATGAAATTCTTCTATATGGTAAACATGCCTCTGCTTACGCAGCATAATCCACCTTGAGTCCAACATCATTTTCTCAAAACCTAAATCCTTCAATAAGGCAGTAAATCATTTTATTGCAACCACCAAATGCTTTCTTATTGCTAGGAATGGTACAATACACTTACTTTTTGATACATGTTCCAGCTTTCCAAGATTTTGTTGGAAACAAAATGATCCTTTATGATAGTTTATAATATTCCACCCCATTTATCATTTTCCAGAATTTCTATCATTAATTAAAGGGCCTTCTTTCACCGCTGCACCCTCCCAATACTAATGTATTCCCCAACTGCCTATCAGAGACTAAATAAAAGTCAGTCTATCACAGCAGCAGTGATGGTCATGCCAATTTCACAGAGTGATTTGTGCACTCATTTCATTTTGAAAATGACCCTGCCCTCCATCTGTCTAAACCGAATGTCCTGCTTTTTTCAAGCCAGGCCTCAGGAACAGTAGTACATGAAACAAGGGTAAAGACACACAGCAGCCTCCCTCCTGCCCCCCTCAGCTACCACACCCACAGATGGGTAACAACACAAAGAGGGGACCCCAGCTGATGCCTGAAGGGATCAGGGAAATTTGGGGCAAAGCAGATAATCCATTTTTCATATATTTCCAAAAAGCCATTTGAAGGTGAATGCTTTCATGATACAACTCTGAAACAGACTAAGAGATATGAAAGGCAATTTCCCATCTCCATGTTCTGTCATTTTGCCTTGATTTAACAGCAAATTACCAAAGGTAACAGCTTAATACATACGCATTTAAAGTACAGTAGGATTTTAAAATATTGAGCCCTTTGGATAATAATTTCTTTCCAAGATGTGTCAATCAGGCAGTCATAAAGGAGAAGATACCCTATTTCGTGATTATTCAGCCACACTAGTTAGCATCCCACAAACCATGTACCTCTTTTGGTTGAAGACCAGATAAGGCTGCAGCCAGACATTGGGATGGAAGAAGCTTTTGAATAGGGTTGTATAGTGGTCTTTCTCTGCTGCTTTCTCAGGGTATTCTGAATGGCCCAGAGCCCCCCTCGCTTCCTCTGAAATGGAAGTGCAGTCTCTCTTTCTGTCAGTATTCAAGCAGTGAAAGGCTCCTCATCTGGTCCCATCTAGAACACAAGTTTGGCAAACTTCTCAGCAAGGGAAAAGAATGCATTAAGTACATGAAGTCAGTGGCTTGGTACTACAGAATCCAGATGCCTTACCGAAATCTCTTTTTAGCTTTAACAGGTGACTAGGAACTACACTGCCACCCAGCAATCACTTCCTTACATCTGCTACCAGCTGCTCAGGCCAGAAGTCCAGATTTTACTGCCCAAACCAAGGTGGTTATTTTAATGGGAAAAATAACAACCAAAAAAAAAAAAAAAGGCACTAGTATTCCCTCAAAATTGGGCCCTTAGGGAATACATACATTGAGTTAATTCAACAGCCTCTCTTTCCTAATAACTTAGCTTTTGGATATCATCATAGTTCAGCTGTTTCTTTTCTTTATCTAATATGCAGAATGCAGGGTGATGATTAAGCTTAGAGATAATCTGTGTAAATAACAGAGGGCCCTGTACCATGGTTGATGTTGCTCCAAAAAGTATTTATAGAGAACTCTTGTGGGCTGCAACAGTACTGAGGCAGATAAGGGGTTTACACTAAAGTGTTTAATTATATTAGCGAAGACATGCTTCTGCCTGGACTGTTTATCTTGGATTGTAGGGAGGTGAATGGCAATCTGAAAGACTGTGGAACACTATGAAAGAAAACCCCCTTATGCCAGGGCTCCGGCAGAGGCACTGCATATGATATTCATAAATTATAGCTAATTTTTTTTTTCTTTTAGAGAAGGAGCAAGGGAGCGGATGGCTCTCAAGCAGGCTCCACACCCAGTGTGGAGCCCACCATGGGGTTCTATCCCATAACTCCAAGATCATTATCTGAGCTGAAATCAGAAGCCCACACCCGACCAGCTGAGCCACCCAGGCACCCCATAAATTACAGCAAATTTTTTTATCTTAAGAACTGCTGTTAAAAAAAAAAAAAACAAAAAAACAAAACAAAAACAAAAAACAAACAAACAAAAAAAAAAAAAAACGAGCTGCTGCTGCCTCACTGGGATAAGTCAGTTTTTGGGTTTGTTTTTTTAAAGATTTTATTTATTCATTCATAAGAGACAGAGAGAAGCAGAGACACAGGCAGGGGGAGGAGCAGGCTCCACCGGGGAGCTCCAGCTCCACACGATGCCGTGACCTGGGGTCACGCCCTGGGCCGAAGGCATGCATCCCACTGACTGAATATTATATTAGTCTCTCACAAATTAAACTGTCTCCACATCAGTCTAAACTATGGGTATCTTTTTTACTAGTAATTCATTATAATTTTATAAGATAATTAAGTCCCTACTTTTCCACTGTCCCATGAGGGGCAATATTAAATTCAACAGTAGGGGATCCCTGGGTGGCTCAGTGCTTTGGAGCCTGCCTTTGGCCCAGGGCGCAATCCTGGAGTCCTGGGATCGAGTCCCACGTCGGGCTCCCGGCATGGAGCCTGCTTTTCCCTCCTCCTATGTCTCTGCCTCTCTCTTTCTCTCTGTGTCTATCATAAATAAAAATTAAAAAATAAATCTTTAAATTCCAAAGTATTTATACGAAAAAAAGCCCTGAGGTAGTAACATGGACTCTAGAGCATCTATTCCAAATACATGACAAAGGAACAAAGGAAAATCCAGGGCTCTTTCTTTCTTTTTCTTTTTTTTTTTTTTTTGTACAGGAGCAAATTTCCAGAGATCTTCAAACTAAGAATCTGAGGTGGGGAAAAAATTAAAGTGTAGGAAAGTTTCTTTTAACTGAAAGAAATTCCAGTTTTTATCAGTGATGTCCAAAAAACAATTCAGTGATATCCAGAAATATTAAAAGCCTGACAAGTGCAGGCTGATTGTCTCTCTGTTTCTCTCTCACACACAAAGTAGGTTTGGAGAGTGAGAAGAGCAACGGTGCAGGGACACTTTTGGCCGCACTTTTATCCCCACCCCACCTTGGAAAAGACTCGGTCATCGGTTTTTCCACGGTCCTTACACGGTAGTGAAGTTTGGAGGATCAAGGGAGATGAACTGCCAAGTGTGCAAACCCTAACGAAAGAAAAGGTAAGCGCTACCTCACCTCCTGACGACGGTGCGGCCGCCCGGCGGAGACTACTCCTCCCGGCATGCAACGCGGCCACGCCCGCGGCTGCCGCGCGACGCGCCCGCGCATGACCGGAAGTGGGGTTTAGGTACTGACGGGCGTGGAGGAGTTTTTTCTTTGCTAACGCCGCTCACGCTCCGGAGTCTTGGGGACAGGCCGTATATGAGACCCTCGGGATAGTGACTCCGTTCTAACCCTTGTCTGGTCTTACCCCTGCAAAGCGACTTTAGGAGTGGGGGTGGGGGGGAAAGCAACACAAAAAACTGCAGTATCCTTTGCGCCTTCCGTTTCCGGGCGGCCGGTTGCCGTGGCAACCAGCGCGCCCCAGCGCCGCGGCGGCGGGCATGGCCGGGCTGGGCGGCGCGCACGTCCCCGATGGCGAGTTCACCGCCGTCGTGTACCGGCTCCTCCGCGACGCCCGCTACGCCGAGGCGGTGCAGCTGCTGGGCGCCGAGCTGCAGCGGAGCCCGAGGAGCCGCGCCGGCCTGTCGCTGCTCGGCTACTGCTACTACCGCCTGCAGGAGTTCGCGCTGGCCGCCGAGTGCTATGAGCAGCTGGGCCAGCTGCACCCGGAGCTCGAGCAGTACCGCCTGTACCAGGCCCAGGCCCTGTACAAGGCCTGCCTGTACCCGGAGGCCACCCGCGTGGCCTTCCTGCTGCTGGACAACCCCGCCTACCACGGCCGGGTCCTCCGCCTGCAGGCCGCCATCAAGTACAGCGAGGGCGACCTGCCCGGGGCCAAGAGCCTGGTGGAGCAGCTGCTGAGCGCGGAAGGCGGGGACGACAGCGGGGGCGATGGCGAGCCCGACGGCCAGGTCAACCTGGGCTGTTTGCTCTACAAGGAGGGACAGTACGAAGCCGCGTGCTCCAAGTTCTTCGCGGCGCTGCAGGCCTCGGGCTACCGGCCCGACCTGTCCTACAACCTGGCCTTGGCCTATTACAGCCGCCGGCAGTACGCCCCGGCGCTCAAGTACATCGCCGACATCATCGAGCGTGGCATCCGCCAGCACCCGGAGCTCGGTGTGGGCATGACCACCGAGGGCATTGATGTCCGAAGCGTTGGCAACACCTTAGTGCTTCACCAGACCGCCCTGGTCGAGGCCTTCAACCTCAAGGCCGCCATAGAGTACCAACTGAGAAACTATGAGGCGGCCCAGGAGGCCCTCACGGACATGCCACCGAGGTCAGAAGAAGAGTTAGACCCCGTGACCCTGCACAACCAGGCGCTGATGAACATGGACACCAGGCCTACGGAAGGGTTTGAAAAGCTACAGTTTCTGCTCCAGCAGAACCCCTTCCCCCCAGAGACCTTTGGCAACCTGCTGCTGCTCTACTGTAAGTATGAGTATTTTGACCTGGCGGCCGATGTCCTGGCAGAGAATGCCCATTTGACCTACAGGCTCCTCACCCCCTATCTCTATGACTTCTTGGATGCCATGATCACCTGCCAGACGGCTCCGGAAGAGGCTTTCGTTAAGCTTGATGGGCTGGCAGGGATGCTGACTGAACAGCTCCGGAGACTCACCATCCAAGTACAGGAAGCAAGACACAATAGAGACGATGAAGCTGTCAAGAAGGCAGTGAATGAGTATGACGACACCCTGGAGAAGTACATCCCCGTGTTGATGGCCCAGGCAAAGATCTACTGGAACCTTGAGAATTATCCAATGGTGGAAAAGATCTTCCGCAAATCTGTGGAATTCTGTAATGACCACGATGTGTGGAAGCTGAACGTGGCTCACGTCCTGTTCATGCAGGAAAACAAATACAAAGAAGCCATCGGTTTCTATGAGCCCATAGTCAAGAAGCATTATGACAACATCTTGAATGTCAGTGCTATCGTGCTGGCTAACCTGTGTGTTTCGTACATTATGACAAGTCAGAATGAAGAAGCTGAGGAGTTGATGAGAAAGATTGAGGAGGAAGAGCAGCTGTCCTACGATGACCCCGATAAGAAAATCTACCATCTCTGCATTGTGAATTTGGTGATAGGGACACTCTATTGTGCCAAAGGAAATTATGACTTTGGTATTTCTCGGGTTATCAAAAGCCTGGAACCTTATCATAAGAAACTGGGAACTGACACCTGGTATTATGCCAAAAGATGCTTCCTGTCCTTATTAGAAAACATGTCAAAACATACGATCATGCTCCGTGACAGTGTTATTCAAGAATGTGTCCAGTTTCTAGAACAATGTGAACTTTATGGCAGAAACATACCTGCTGTTATTGAACAACCCCTAGAAGAAGAAAGAATGCACACTGGAAAGAATACAGTCACATACGAGTCCAGACAGTTAAAGGCTTTGATTTATGAGATTATAGGATGGAATATATAGTTATGTCTGATAGAATATCTTTTATCATAATACCTTTATATATATTTTGTGGTTTTATCTATATTTAGCTATAGATATTTATATTTATCATCTTTACATTTGTCACATGTTAAACTGTATATTTGAAAAGTCATATTAATTAAATAATCTTATTGTAACTTTTGACACCTAGAATAATATATGAAAAATCAATACTGATTGGGACTCTGAGTTTGTTAGAACTTGTAGTGCCTTTTTCTTCTTTGTTATCATATGTGTCTGGTTGTATTTAGAGTCCCCTGCACATGGATTATAATTTCCAGGGGCTTGGCACTATCAAAACCCAGAACAGAGCAGTTAACATGTAGGATTTCTAGACTTTTACTGTTAAGTTTTAGGGATTGTGTGTTCCTTTCTCACAATTTACTCTTTAATTTGGAATATACACACATCTTGCATAGAGTTTAAGATGTTTTGGCAGGGTTTTTCAATATAGATGTAACACTTTCTGTAACCAAAATTCCTTAGGTGATAAATGTTTGGGTTTCTTTTTCTGTTTTTTTTTTTTTTTTTAAGGTACAAATTTAGAGGGATATCTTGTGCCCTTAATATTATGGTACTATAGTATAGAGACAATAAACAATTGCTGAAGAAACAACTTTAGTTTTCTTTTGTTCCTCTTGTTAATAATGTGTGCATATGAACAAGATATTTTGTTACGTTTTTCATAACTGCTCTCATTTATCTCTAAATAGTGACTAATAGAAGTACCCTGAAAACTTAGTTCTTAATTCCTACCTACTTAGGTTACTGTTGGAGTTTTTCTGTGTTGTAGCCTCTTTGGTAAGGAAAAATCTACACTATTGCCATGACCCCATCAAACTTCTTTCCTGCCTCTATAAAAGGTTAAAGGTTCTGAAACCTTATCTGGTAGGTTCATAATGCTAGTTTCACACTCCCAACATTCCCAAGGAGAACTCCACTCATTCTGCTTAGGCATTTTTTTTTTCTGAACCAAATATGAGCTTTACTGTTTGTTCACTTACTCCTTCTCTACCCATAAATGTAACTGTCGACTCCAATTTAACCTGGCTCAGAAAAAAAAAAAAAGTATTAGGTTGAATGATAATGAAATTGCTGATCTTGAAAGTTACTGACCTACATAACTACCAGTTTCTCATGGTTTCGGTCTGATCGCTTTCAACTGATAGTGAACGCCTGACATAATGAGATGATGGTTTTTTCCTTCAAAAAGAAATCACTTGGGCATGTAGGTACCTAGACCAGGTATGCGCAGCACAAATCCTCTGTAGCATGACCTTCTGGGTGTTCAAATTCTAATAGATCTATCAGAAAATTTGGCTTACAATGAAGTCCAATGGTTTTCAGTTCATAAGCATTTTAAGTCTTAATTATGTATGCTGATACCACTTACCATAGTTGTTTGATCCCATGTTTGGAGAACTGTTGATGCTTAATGACCTCTTCAGTGTATCTGACAGCACAAATTCTATCTGTGGGAAATGGTCTTCATTTAGCAACTTTTGTACTAAAAGTGTTGCTGCTGCTTTGTGCAGTAGCTCTATGGCCCCTCTCAATCTCCATAGCTCCTTAAGATTTGGACAATAAATGAACTGAAATCTCATTTCAACAGCCATGTTAAAATTTCTGATGTTCTTGCACATTTCCTCTATTTTTTTTTCTTAAAAACAAAGCAAAACATAAAGTGTACCCACCCAAAAGCAAATGTTTTCCAGATTCCCTTTTGCAAATAGCCTGGCCTTTATGCAGCCACATTTTATTTATCCAGGTGCTATGTGTTTGTGGTTTGCATGTATGTGTAATTCAGCTTTCCAGAACATAAAAAGCTTTTCAGAATAGTTTTTAACCCCTTGCCGCTGGGCAGCTGGGATTTCCTGGTTAGTAATGAATCAGGAAATCCTGACTGCTCCTACCACTGAGTAAAGGAATAAAGGTCAATCACGGCATTTGTCCCCTTCCTTACCCACGCTCTCTGGGGAGGCATCCCCTCAGATTGACAGACTGCTGCCTGGCAACAACAAAGACTCTTGAACCACACCTACAAAGCTGTCCAGTCTTCTGAATATTGGAGAAGACTGAGAAGCGTGAGGATATTCCTAACTCTTCAGACTCTTCAGACTCTTACTGCCCTTTATTTTTAGGATATATTTCTTTCAAACTCACCTTCATAAGTACTTAGCTCTCCTTATCGATACTATGACACTAACAATGACTTTAACTCTGTATTTTTACATTTGACTGAAAGCTTTCATCCCTAAAGCTCTGATGAAAAGCTTTGTTTTGTGCTCCTACATTATGTATTCCATGCTAAAAGCACTTTTTTGACCAAAAAAAAAAAAATTTACATGTATTTCTAAAGCTTTTACTCCTTTTTCTTCATTATGTCCCATGTTACATTTTAAAGGGATCAAATATTAAATCTAGTATCTTATAATCCTAGTCAACCCCCCATCTCCACGTTTTCAGAATATAAGCCTTGTGTTTGTACACAAGTAGTTATTTCCATTTTCCCAGACATGAATAAGAATGTGATCTTCCCATGCAGGACAACCAGCAGACTCCTTTGATCAGTGACATGACTGCCTGCCAAAGGATTCCCATTCCTCCTCACAGCCCTTCTTTGAATTTGGCCTCAGCTGTGGCACAAATGTTCACACTAACCCCATCTGTGAGGTCAGATATAGAGTGACTACCTCTGACCCCTTCATAAGAAGCAGAAAACTGGAAACTGGGAGAACTGTGGGGATAGGAGGTGGAGGGTCACTGGGCAGTGAAATCATAGGAGATGATCACATTCTCTTCCTGCAGGATGATATAGGAATACATAGGGATGGCATCTCAAACCTCAGAAGAACATCTCAGATGGAATCCATATAGACCTACCAGTGATAAGCTCGCCTACAGATTATAGCAATTTGTGATGCCCAAATAAATAAAATACTAGAAAATGTGAGATAAGAAAGGGTAGGTAAAGCTGAGCAGAAGGTTTAAGGGAATAACTTTCTGACCCTCCTGTCCTATAATCTTTGCTTGGGCTTATTTCCATACTGGCACACAGAGGGTTAGCAGTGCTGGAAGTCTGTCCAGGTATCTAAACTACATAATTTTAAAAGGATAGTATCACCAAAGTGAAACCTTTCAACACCAGCATTTCTGAATATGTTTTTGTCTTAGGTTCTTTAGTCTTTTTCTTAGTGACTATAAGTGATCTAGAAACACCTGGGAGACTAGTTTCTTGACAGTACTCTGACACATTAAGTAAATTCCTCACAATGGTGGGAATTGCAGCTCATTATCTACCGTTCACTAACTGCCTCTTATTCTTTGTTGCCTTACCACTGGGACTAGAGTGACACTTGGGCTTTTTTGTATTCACTTATTGGGCTGTACCCACAGTATTACTTAAACAGAACACTTCGTGAAGAGCCAGTAACTCTGGATTCTTGGTTGTCCAACCACAGAAGTACCATAACTGTAACCATCAGATTCTAAACTTAAACTTTCATTCTAGCTATAAGATATACACAACTTTTGCAGTGTAGCTCAAATCCTTCAGCAGCAATTTTAATTCTTAAATCAGCAGTTTTAAGGAACTGTGTGACTTCCCATAAATGGTCTCTAATTACAATAGAACATTTCCTTAATCTTAATAGTTTCCAGTCTCTCTATGGAAAGATATATAACTTGCAGAAACAGGTATTCTTACATTTTTAAGCGCAGCTCAAAGGAATACAGTATTAAAGTTATAAAAATGCAAATTAAGTTCCTTTGTAAGTTTCATATTAAACCTATAGACACCAATATAAGACCTTCTGAATTAAACATTTACAGAGCAAGACAGCATTTGAGACAAAAGGCATCCTGTATTTTCTATGGTGTAAAGTCAAGAAGACAGTGGCTTCCATTTTGTAGCTTGAAAAGACTTAATTTCCTTACTTGTGCCCTTTAGTAGAGGGCAATGACTAATAATCTGCTTTAAAAGCAGAAATTTTGTATATATCATAGATACCCAGTACAAACAGCCTGGAGCAGTGAAGCTGCCAGCAGAGGCACTGGATTTAGTCATATCCCAACACCACCACTTGCCAGCTACTAAGTCGATGTTACTTGACTTCACTAAACCTCAGTTATTTTACCAGTAAAAAAAAAAAAAAAAAAAAAGTGAGTGAGGATATCACTCATTTCTCAGGATTGTTGTAATAATCATTACCTCTGGTCTAGGGTTAAATCTCAGCACAGTGGCTAATAAACGATGAATTAAAAAGTAAATTATTAATGCAATAATCATTTCTAGGGTAGTATTCAGCAAAAATATCTAGACTTAATCAGAATCACTGAGACCAAAAAAATAAAAATAAAAAAAATTAAAAAAAAAAGAATCACTGAGACCAAGTCAGAAGGGACCTTAGAGATTTTCATTTTATGAAAGAAATTAGGTCCAAATAGAGAGTGACTTGTAGTTGGTAGAGAAAAATGGAGCATAAACAAAATTCCAGAATAGAACTCTTTCCATTGTGTTTGTAGACTTTGGAACTCCATCCTCTCTTATTTTACAGCTTTTTAGTGACAAAATTTTAATTTTTTTCATTAAGTGGCAAAGCGGGGACCAAAAACTCAGTGGTCCAGCTCAAAGCTGTGCTCTTAGCCACTGCTTTTTTTTTTTTTTTTTAAGATTTTATTTATTCATGAGAGAGAGAGAGAAGCAGAGACACAGGCAGAGGGAGAAGCAGGCTCCTTGCAGGGAGCCCCATGTGGGACTCAATCCCAGCACCCTGGGATCACGCCCTGGGCTGAAGGCAGACACTCAACTGCTGAGCCACCTAGGCATCCCTAAAATTTTAATTTTTAAGGACTATCTTCTCAGGGGTAATGTGGATACAATGAGGTATGAAAGATGTGACAGAACTATGTAAGAATGGATGTGAGAGGTTGTCCATGAGCCAATACTAGACCAAATCAACATCACATCAGAGAATGGGTTTGAGTATACTGAAAATGAGACATGCCCCTGAGGCCAAACACAGGCAAAAGTAGATGGGATGACACAAGGACCTCAGTGCCTTTCTGATGGGGTGGCACAGGAAACTTGAGCAGCAAGCTTCGTCAAAGGATCTCAGTCTGGCAGCTTACAACGTTAAGTAAATTTATTGCATGTTTAATGTTTGTCTGAAATAATTTACTCACTGGGAGGAAAAAAATGCCTATTTGTGGACAAAATGTAAAGTGGACAATAGCATGTCAAGTGGAAGAATAGCTGCCTGAGCCCTGAATGCTCTTTCATGGATGTGTTATTGGACAGACCGTTGTGTACTAGAGCTCTCTGCCATTACTTGCAAGAGAGTCAAGACATATACATGTCTCACTTCGATTAGGACCCAAAACTGAACGGAAAAAAAATATTCTGGATGAGTCAAGATTCTAAAATTTTGAAACTCTAGAATTAAATCCAGCAAGATACAAATTTTAGTTAAGGATAAATACAGGTAATGGGACTTTAAAAAATCAGACTCCAGGGAGATGTGGCCAAAACAGCATACACAGAAAAGACAAGCTTTGTTAAATTTAAATTCAGTGTGAGATGAGAGTGGAATGTCCATAAAA